AGCCCACCGGGTGTCTTTGCCACCGCTGCCTGTCCTGCTTAGCAGCTGACTCGTCCCGGGGCCTGCAGTCTGGCCCTCCAACGGTCTGAGGGACAGTGAACTGGCCCCCTGTTTAAAAAGTTTGAGGCCCCCTGGTTTAGAGGATCAGAAGAGGACTCAGTATTAACCCTGTGCTTACCATCCTAGTCATTTCCCAAGGCTCGCCTGGTAGCAAGGGGCTGAGTAGTACAAGTGTTTGAATTCACTCTTTACATCACTCATTCACAGGAATTTCCTGAGCCAAGCAGAGTGGATAAAGAAGAGGGTCCACAGCCCCTGCCTTCAGGGTGCCCACAGCCTGGTATAGATCCAGCCGTGTGCTAGAATGAGAGGGGCCATGGAAGGCTCTAGGTGCCCTGATTCTGGCTCTGTGGATCAGGGAGGCTCCAGAAAGGCAGGGCTGTTGATTAGGTCTTTGAGTTCTGGGTAGGATTGAGAGATGGAGACATTGGGGTGGAGAGGTTTCATACTAAAGTAACAATACAGGGGAAGATTCAGTAGCAGGAAAATGCAGGCATGTGGGTGGGAAGCCACTTGGTTAGCACAGACACACAGCAGCGGGGTGGGGGTTTGGAAGATGTGGAGTGAGTTTGGAAGAGCTTGGATTTCGTAGCCAAGGATGGGCTTAGGTTCTGTTCGGCAGGGAATGAAGCACCTTGGACAGCAGAGCTACCCACCCAGAGCTGTGCTATAGGAAGATGCATCTGGCCTTCAGAAGGCAGGAGTAGTGCTGGGAATAAGGGAGTTGGGTAGGTGGATTTGGAAGCTGTTGCCACAGACTCAGGGCCCTGGCCTTGTTTACACAGAGGAGTGGCAGATGGAGAGGCATTGATGACGTAGGACCACCAGGCCAAGCATGAGGAGCAAGCAGGAGAGAAGAAAGCAGCCGAAATGACCCTGGGTTTCAAGGTTGGTCTACAATGAGGCTGGTGGTACCTCCCACACGGGAAAAGTGGCAATGAACCATTGACAGTGCTTGGCCTGGAGTATGTGATCAATAAACACTTATTGTCTCTCTGCTGTGTTGAAACTTGGCTGTCAGGGCAGGCTTGGTTCATGTTGTGTGAGGTGCCTGTGGGACTGCAGCAGGAAGGGTCAGGGCTGTAGGTGTAGGCGTAGGTGTGACAGTTAAAGTCTTGACACTAAATGCAAACACCAACTGAGCTGCCAAAAAGCAGAGGATGGCCATGCATGGGAGACTCAGTAACGGAATGTGGGAAGGAGTAGAGCATTCCAATAGCACTGATAGTGCCACTTAACAATTACTGAGCCCCTACCACGTGCACTGTGCCAACATCCATTCTGTTATTAAATAATCACAGCAAACCTGTGAAAGAGGTGCTATAATTATCTTTGTTTAAAAGGGGGGAAACTGAGGCTGGGATTGTGTAAAATTTCCATGCTTTCACTTCATCGTGCTCAGAGATTCTCAGGCTCCAGGCTCCCAGTTTCCATTTCAGAGCCACTGGCCTAATCTTACTTGGTCAGAACACTGGTCAAACCAGCACATCCCTGACAGGTACCCAGCAAGGCCTCATTTGTAAATGGCTGATTTGTCAAAGATTTCATGTAGAAAGTGGCCTCCTGAGAAGTTACATGATATATGAACACAATGGTGGAGGCCTGGGGACACTTTCCCTTCCAGAGGTGCCCAGGCCTTTGTGCTCCTCAGGGTCCACCCTCCTTACCTGGTGGATCAGTGCCCAGCATTGCGTTTCATCAGCCTTTCCTGTTTTCAAGGTCATGGACCACTGAAAACATTGAACAACATTGTTTGAGGAGGGAACAGAAACACTTCTGTTTGTGCCTGAGGAAGGCATGGCGACTTTCTGTGGCCAGGTTCCTTGGTTCTGAGGAGAGGTGTGTTTGCACAGATGCCTGCCATTGTCAAAGCTTATCATCTATACGTTTAGAACTGTACCTTTCACTGAATGTAAATTATACCTTAATTTAAAAGCAAACTAATAAGAACAAGGATGAGAAGCCAGAGAGGGAGAAGACCAGGGGCTCTTGAGAGTGACTGGTCTTCATGGAAGAAGAAGTGAGACTAAAGAATGGAGCAGGGGTCCAGCCAAGAATGTCTATCCTTGGGGTAATCACCAGGAGACCTCAGGCGAACCCTGGGATGAGGCAACTCTACTAACAAGAAGTGGGGGAATGGAGTCTTATTACAAGAATCAAAGACAGGCTATGGAAATGTTCCAGATTAAAGAACTGGATTCTGTACCCGAGGGTGGCATGCTATAAAGGACAATAAGAGATCAAATGACAGTTTGATTACAGATAGTAGATTAGATAAAAGTGCTATCAGCATAGATGTATAAAACTGATAGCTGTGTAAGATAATATTAACATTCTTAGGAACTGTGTTTCAAAGTATTCAGTGGTGAAGAGCCATGTTACATGTAATTTACCCTGAAATAGATTAGAAAATAAGATCATATAGGTATGTGTGAAAAAAATATGTATATGTGTACAGAATTTCCCTTATTGCTTACCTTGGGAGGAAAAGAAAAAGGACAGGTGTGGTTCTCATCGGGGTGTTGTTGACAAGCCAATCTGTGGTTTGACAAGGATTTTTCTAACATCTGCACCTCCAAACAAAGAGGATCTTATCAGAGCACTGTCCTCCAGTCAGAACTCCTGAAAGCCACATCAGACCCACAGCTGATTTACGAAATCCTTCGTGCATGATCCTGTCACTATTACCATGAGGTGGATGAGGCCCAGGCGAAGATTAGGCTCTGAGACCATGACCTCTACTCAGCCAAAGTGCACATACAATTGAGTAGGTGGGAGGAGAGAACCCTCAAACAGTAAGCAACTGAGGTAAACTGTGAGCAAAGGCCAGCTCTGGGTAAGGTGTAGATAGGGGCATTCTTTGTGCTATTTTGTTTTTTTGTATTTTTTCCCAAATTTGGAATTATGTTCAAATAAAAATTTAAAAAATGTAAATTAGGAATGAAGGAGGTTGTAGGCATTCCAAGGGCTTCACAGTATAAACTTGGATCAGTTCAAAGCTGTGTCAGTGTCCTAGTGATGGTGGTCCCTATGATGATTCTGTTGCTTTATCTCAAGCAATAAAAGCTAGATTGCTTGTGTAGCAAAGCTGGGAGAATGGGAGAGAATTTCCTTATTGCTTACCTTGGAGGGAAAAGGCAAAAAGTACAGGTGTTTTATTGACAAGGTCAGGCGGCAGTTTGGCTAGTGTTTTCCCAACATCTGCACCTCCAAGCAAACAGACTGTTATCAGGGTACTCTCCTTCAATCAGTAACTCCTGGAAGCCACTATCTATTCATAGCTGATTCATGAAAACCTTGACTCCTGGGTCAGCTCCGTATCACCAGGGATGAAAGTGGGCCAGGTAAAGTTGATCTATCAGAACAATGACGTCTATTCTGTCTATGGTGAAATTTCTCAGAATGACCCAAGAAACATCATCATGGGTTTGGGAGAGAACCAGGTGCTGAGTGACCTCTCACAGTGGGCTTCCAAAGGCCACGGTGTCTGATCTTGTTCAGAGGAGCCCTGTACCCCTCACAAAGTGGTCCTTACCCCTGCTCATCTCCATAAGATCCACTGTAGAAGGGCTGAGTGGCGTTGTGTCTCCTGCCCACACTGTCAGGGATTTTCTGACTTCCCTATGCACAGATGGAAATCCAGCATGAGTTTGCCCAAGCACACTTCCCAGCAGCAGAAACCTCCCCCCTTGATTGAGGTGAGTTAAAGTACAGGTTGTGCTTTCTGTCCAGTGCCGGGCTCAGGCTGTGGAGTCATGGAACTGAATGTTTCTCCCTAACCTGCCATCTGATAAAGATGAGACTGTAGGGGATATGGGGTGTGGTGGTTTAACCAGAGGATAAAAGTGATTTGCTTGTTTGCCAGCATGTGTAAAACCTAATTGGGACACCACGTACAAGGAATTAAACCCAGGGGCCAAAAAGGCCTGTGGTCACAAAGAAATCTCTTTCTGTTTCTTTCCTGGTCATGTCATGTTAGTTCCTTGAGGAGGGAAAGTTGAAAACAAGAGTCCACTCTGTCTGCACTGGGACTGAAAGTTCTGTTTGTACTAAAGGGTCCGTAGTGAGAAGATGAACTTGAGAGGGGAGAGATGCAGAGTCTCTGCTGCCTACGTGTACTTGAAGAAGCAGCTAGAGACATAAACAGCCCCTGATCTGACCCCCAGGTCAGACAAGAAGGCAGCAGCCCTGAGCCCCTGAACTTTGAGGGGCCAAGGGGACCAGTACTTCCATACGGCTGTTTAGGGCACAGCCTGACCAGGGCTGGCCTGGGTCAGTGAGAACACTCTCGTCCACTCCAGCCAGCAGTGGTCCAGCATCCACGTCATACCACTACAGTCTCACTCGATAACTTATTGAGCCCTACAATATTCCAGTCATCACCACACCGAGCTCTTTACATATATGTAGTAATGCCTTATTTGTACCATGAAAATCTGTCTGTCTTTTTCAAGATAAGAAAACAGAGGCTGAAAATGCTGATCTGCCAGGAGAGTTCGGCTTAAATACTTTTTTGTTGCATGGCACACAGGTACACACATGCACACACCTTCAGGCACACACACAGAGTGTTAGATTTTCTAGCTTCTGCTCCAAGAAAAAGCCTGGTGTGCCTTGTCATAACTGATCTTAGGCATTTTGCAGTCACATCTATTTAGAAAGACGTCATGATGGTTGACAGAAAGCTCTTTCCTAAGGCAACTGGTGCTTTGCCATGTGGCTGAGATTGTCTTCAATTTGGCTGTGTGTGTTGGTGGGGCTCCTTATTGGGACCTCAGAATCCTGGTTTTAGCTGCCAAGGAGGTCAAAAGGTTGGTAAAATGCCAATGCTGCATGAGAGGGCCCTGTCAGTGGGCTGGGCTGGGCTGGCTTGGGTGCCAGGGAACGGCCAGTCTCTCAGCTCCTGGGTCACTCGCCATCTTCTCCCCCTGTCTTTGCAGCCAACCTCAGTTTGAAGTCCGGGGCAGCGGCTCTTGGGGAGCAGCCAGCATACCAGGGACCTGTGCACTGCATCGCAACCATCGTGAGGAGTGAGGGCCTGGCGGGGCTGTACCGGGGGGCCAGCGCCATGCTGCTGAGGGACGTCCCAGGCTACTGCCTCTACTTTGTCCCCTACGTGTTCCTGAGTGAGTGGATCACACCCGAGGCCTGTGCAGGCCCCAGCCCCTGTGCTGTGTGGCTGGCGGGTGGCATGGCAGGTAAGGGCAGCAACAGCTGGAGAGCCCTGTCCCTGCGCCAGCCACTTCTGTGGAACAGTGGGGCAGCTTGCCATGCCCTTCCCAGCCCCAAGGGAGGACGGAACACAAGCAGCCGCTCGCCCAGCAATTCTTCGTTAAATGCCTACTCTGTGCCAGGCCTAGCAAGGCAGGGGAAGGGCTGGGAGTGGGGAGTGGGGAATGGCACCCCCATGTTCTCTCATCCCCTTCCCGCTAAGGCTATGAGAATAGTAGTTCTCGTTTGGGCTCATTCAGCTCTCAGGAACAGATATATGTTGAGCACATGCTGTGTGTCAGGGATTACCGAAGATTGGGAAGGAAATGTGTTATGATCATTCATCTTCATGGAGTATCAGCATGTCATAAACCTTTCTAATGTGGGGATTTTATTAGTTTTATTAGGCAGGAATTCAGCTCTCCATTTTACATATGAGAAAACTCAGGTCTAAGACATTGAACAACCAACCCAAGGTCATACAGCTCTTCTGACAGTACAGAAGACTGTGCAATCAGAAAGAGTCAAGTTCAAATCTACACTTATGCGTTCTCTGACCCTAGTCAGTGCCTTGCACCATGTTCCCCTTCCATTCAGGGTGACAGTTCGTATGCATGCGATGGGTTTCCAGGCTCCTGATGATCTGGCTCCCTGTTCCCCCCAGTTTCACGCTCCCCTCCTCACTCTCTCCAGCCACACTGACTGTGCGCAGCTCTCCCCCACTGCAGGGCCACTGTACCTGCTACTCACGCTGCCTGGATCTGATAACGTGGAGCCCTCTGGGGACTCTGACAAAAGTTTTTTTAGTGGCGGGAAGGTGTAAAGTTCTGGTTGAGTGGGACCAAGAGAGAATGGGATGAAGGGAAGTGGAGAGCCTGAGTATATATGCCACTTCTGAGGGCTTTTGCTGTGCCGTGACGAGGGACAGAGAAATGGAGCTCTAGCCAAGGGGCACACGGAAGCCAAGAGAGACTGCTTCTTAGGAAGGCAGATGTCATGGCATGTTTGATGCTGATGGGAAAAATACAGAAGAGAGTAGAAAATCATATTCCTCCCCCGCCGCCCACCATCCTGCCCTGCCCTTCGTCATTAGCCATGCTGTAAACACACGGCAAAGCCCACGTCTGAGCAACCACAAGTTTTGCCCTCTGCCTCACTGGGCCGGGTGCCTATCCTGCGCCTGCGTCCCTTCAGCGCTCAGTCAGGGCTGGCTGGCGGAGAAGACAGCAAGGCGCACTTTGCTGTCCTTTCTGGGGAGAGCAGCTGTGTGTGGCCTGGCAGGCAGATGGCATCTCGTTGTGCACTTGCCAGTGTACTGAGGAAAGCAGCTCTAGATCCTGGAAGAAGGGAGGAGAGAGGGGCTCCCAGAGGGTGTGGGCAGCTGGCCAAGGGTCTAGAGGCAGAGGTGGGCAGGCTGGGGGCTCTTTGGAGAGCTACTGGGCAGCAATTACAAAACCTTGCAAAGCAGCTGCCCTGGACTTTAACATCAGTTTGTTTTTCTTTCCCCGCCCACCAATGTACCAATGTCTGTATTTGTCCAGTAACCAGGTATTGTTTTCCTCGAGTTCTTTACCTGACCATATCCAGTGAGGATGACCCAGTGGCTTGTGGTTCCAAGGCTTCTAGTCCACACATTTGGAAATAAAAGAGATTTTTTTAAAAACTATTCCTGCCTTTTTTTTTTTTTTTTTGGTAGAGACAGAGTCTCACTTTATTGCCCTTGGTACAGTGCCATGGCGTCACACAGCTCACAGCAACCTCCAACTTCTGGGCTTAGGCGATTCTCTTGCCTCAGCCTCCTAAGTAGCTGAGACTACAGGTGCCCGCCACAACGCCCGGCTATTTTGTTGTTGTTGTTGTTATTGCAGTCTGGCCAGGGCCGGGTTTGAACCTGTCACCCTCGGTATATGGGGCTGGCGCCCTACCCACTGAGCCACAGGCACCGCCTTGTTCTTGCTCTTTTTACTGGGGAGGAGGGAACCAAAAACCTTAGCCTTAGGCCTCAGCCTGGGTCTCCTTCTGCTGCCCTGGGAAGAGAACTGCTTTAAAAAGTGGCCACACATGAAGCCCTGGCTGTGGAAAGGCACCGAGCTCAGGACTTCCCACTCACCTGCCCGGTAGGTCCTTCCAGCCCCATGGAGGGAGGGACTGCTGCCATTTCACAGACCTTGGCCCAAGGCTGAGAGGAGGGAGTAGACTTCTGCTGGGTCCCACAGGGAGGGGGTGGCCAGGAAGAATTAGAAAGGGACTTGGCAGATTTTAACCCCGAGCTCTGTGCCTTCCCCTAGCAGTTTAGTAACTTTCTGAGTGGTGGAAAGTCACAACCAGCCAGCCCCTGACACCTGTTTTTCTCTCTTTGCAGGAGCTATTTCTTGGGGGACAGCCACTCCTATGGATGTCGTGAAAAGTCGACTCCAAGCTGACGGGGTTTACTTCAACAAATACAAAGGTGTCCTGGACTGTATCTCTCAGAGTTACCGGAAGGAAGGCCTTCAAGTAAGCCCACAGCAGGCCTGCGGGTCAGTGCCAGTCCCTGGAAGGTGGTTCTGAAGCTGCAGGGATGTGAGACTATATAGCGAGAAGGGTCTTGGGAGACCAAGGGGCTGGTGGTTACTATGCATCAAGCACCACGAACACGTGCTGCACCAAGTGCTTCATCCGGGTTGTCTGTGGACTCCTTGCCAGTCAATAGAGGTGGTAGGTGTGCAGCCTACCTGCCAGAGGTTCAGAGAGGGCTGGGAATATGTCTGCAGTCACTCAGCTGGTACATGGTGTAGCAGGGGCCTGGCCCACAATGTCACCACAGTGTGCCTCCTCATCAAGATGGGCTGGTCACTCCATCCTCTCTCACTGCTTGGTGTCACCCACCCTATCTCCTCCTGTTGGGAGTCCTAGAGTCACCTTGTATCCTTCCTGTCTCTCAGACAGCTCATCTTGCTGGCACCAGGCCCCCTTTGGAGGATGATAGGCTTCTTCGGCTCTCTCACCCCCGCCTCAAGCCCAGATCGCCTCACCTGGTCTCAGCTGTGGAGGTTCCCCAGGTTTCATCGCCTCTGCTCTCCTCCCTATGGCCCAAGAGTTCATCCCAATGCACACCCCTTCCAAACTGTACTAGAACAAAGACCAGATTGCTGTTTCTGGTGTCCAAGGTTATAAACAAACATAAACCCTCCAGAGAAACCATCACACTTGCTCCTCCTGGAATGGGGCCCTTGCTTTCTCTGCATGGCTCTTCGAGTCAGCAGGTGGGTTCACAGTAAGGCCCGGCTACCTGTGAGCTGGCAGAATCCAGGCAGGTGACTTCACCTCTCAGAGCCCTGGTTTCTTGGAGGATGATCATCCCGACGTTGAAGGACCAGGTTAGGCACTCAAAAAGCACCTAATTCAGTGCCTACCCTTGCCAGTTTGGTTAGTGTCAATGCTACTGCTGGGCCCGGCCCTTTTCTTACATGACTGCCTTGCCCTAGCCCTGCCAGATGAATCTGACCCATCCTTTCAGGTCCCATGTAATCCACCACCTGTCCACCAAGTCCGTATCCTCTGCTGCACTTCTCCCGATGTCCTCATGATGCCGCTTGCACACCACCGTGGACAGCAGTTATTTCTGTACCCGCCAGTTCTCCCCTTCTTATAGAAGGTTCCTTAGGATCCTGTTTTGCTTTCTCCCCTAACTTGGGAGAAGATCCAGAGTTCTGGATAAGCCAGTGTTGAGGACGATAGCTAACGTGTGTGTGCAAGGGACAAGATCCAAAAGCTAGATCCCAGGCCTCCACCTACATTAAAGGGCAGAAAACCGTCAGAAGTCAATGTGAAGTCCAGTCCTTAGTGTTCAACACTCAATCTTCTCTGCAGAGAATGGGGCTGTTTGACTTGACAAAGGCTTCCAGGGAAAATGCGTAAGAGCTGTAGTTTTCATGAGTTAAATATTAATTTCACAAATGATTATTTTTGGAGCACCTGGTTATACGCCAGGCTCAGTTCTAGGCCCTGGGGACAGAGCAGTAAATGAAAGAGACAAAGCTGTGGTGAACCTAACCTGCCGATGAGCCAACAGTGGGCCCGGGTCCCAGGACTGCATTAATAGAAGTCTAGTGGGCAGGCTATGGGAGGCAGAAGCCCCTGCCCTGATCAGATTACAGCTGGAATGTGGTGTCCACCTCTGGTCACCAGCAAGACACTGCTGGTGCCCCTGGAATAAAGACCAGGAGTTGGACATCATAGTGTATCAGGAAATTCATAGCAGATAGCCCTTTGTAACCCACTTAAGGATCATCATTGCTATAGCCTTGTTTAGAGTAAAAGATTGTTTAGTGTGAAAAGATGTGATATGGAAGGAACTTCATTTCTGCCTTTGTGTTATAAGGATGGATAAATTCGGTTCATTATTATAAATTCTTTTTTAATAAGGGCTGCTCTGACAGAAGGATAAAGCCTGGGTACAGCTCCAATTATCTTTCGTATTTTTCTTTTATTAAAAACACCATTTGCAATTCAGCCAATAAGTTGAGAGGGACGTAGAATTTCAAACAGGATGTTCCGTTTTTATTTGAGTTTTTTTTTACTATTTCCCCAAATGTGTCATAATTCTAAGAATCCTATACAGGCAAAACATATTGCTGATATTATTTACTCCCAAAATTATTGTGTTCTATTAAAAAAATGAAGTCCTGGCAGCCAGCTGAGGTCACATGATTAGTTTCTTAGTGTCAGCAGCATTTGGGGCATGATGTTGATTCAGAGACAGGTTTTAAGTTGAGACAGCAATACTGAGCTTGATCAGCCATCCACTGACCAGGTGTTTAAAGAGTAAGTTCTAAATTTGTTATTAATTGGTTTTAAAAGATAGGTAAGTGAAAATAGGAAGCTTCTAAAAGTACAAGAGGACATTCTGTCTCCATGTCCCTCCTGGGTCCCTGACCTGCCTCAAAGAAAATTACTATGGGGAGTGTCTTGTGTTATATTTTAAAAATAGTCACAAGAATATATGTGTGTGTGTGTGTGTGTATTTGGCTGTGTGTATGTTTACAGATAAACATACAGATAAAAAGATACACACAAAATAACCCCCACACACAGTCCTGGAAAAACAAGTTGTCTCAAAAGCAGATCCTTGGCACCAGGAGGAGGAGACTGAGAGCCTTTCCCAGGGCCTGAGGGACAGCTCCAGGTCCCAGCTGGCTTGGGGCCTGGCCTTCCCTAACATTCTTGCCTGTGGCTTGTGGAGGCAGGGCATAAAGCCCTAAACCCATCACCAACCTGTTCTCACTTTCTTATGGAAGAAGATCTCAGTGATGATAAAGATTTATCAAGGAGTAAAATAATGATGGAGGTGCCCAATTTGTGTAGTCCTTTATAATCCACTTAAGGATCATCGTGCGGTAGCCTTTGCAAAATGAGAAATCAAGAGCCCACGGCTTGTGGAGCATTCCTGAGCAAAAGCAGAAGAAAGGCCTAGTAGTTTCAGAGCCGTTCTCTGGGAGGATTGTCTCCAGCCACGTGGGGCACGGGTCTGTCTTGGAGAGCTGCTATCTCAAATAGGGGCTGGAGGGACACCTCTGTGTTCCTCAGCTCCATAGGGGCAGCTGCTATGGTGGGCTGTGACAGGGCCACAGGGCTGAAGGAGAGACAGAGAAGGACAATTGTAGGCAGACAGGTTCCAGAGGCACCGACTGCCCTGTGGTGCTGCCCCTCCTCCCTCTCCAGGAAGCGCCGCTGCCACTACTACCAGGACTCTGAGCTCAGAGACTCTTCCTTTTCAAGTCCAAGAGTTTGTCCATTCATTCATTCATTCACTTATCCATCCATCCACTGACCATTTAGTAAGTATGTACAGAAGGCCTGCTCTGAGCCAACTACTTGCAGGTGCTGGGGACTCAAAGGTAAACCACACACACAGCCCTGCCCTCACTGCCCTGTCTACAATTATTAGTGGGGGGACAGACAAGTCACAGGCACATGGAGAACTTGGGTGGGAGGAGCGCTTGGGTGGGAAAGATACAGAGTGCACTGAAGATGGGCTCTACTTCACCTTGTGGTGGCCTTGGAGGGCGAGGAGAGGATGCAGGCCTGGGAACAGGTCTGGGAACACCACAAGCAGAGGGTACCAGGAGTGGCCCAGTGGTAGGGAAAGTGTTAACCTGCCCAGAGTGTTAGGTGAGCTGTCACCCAGAGAAAGCGCAGAGCAGGGCGGAGTATTGCAAGCCAGGGAAGGGTGTGGACTTGACCTGAGGAGTGTGGGGAGGGTACTGGGCGGGGTGGGGAGGCAGTGGCTCTATGTTCTGAAAGTTCAGAGTCAAAGCTGGTAGATCTGCACTTTGTTTGCCTTCGGTGGCCCAAGCAGAGCAGACCACAGCTGCTGGGAGAAGTCTGCAGTGGCCCATGGCTCAGGGCCCAGCACTGCGGGTCGGGGGCTCCCCCACCAAACTGGGTGCTACTTGACTCGCCTCACAGGGCAGAGCCAAGCCAGCCACCTGGCATGGAATTTTCCTCTCCGATTCTGGCCCAGTTCCTTGCTGTTGTTCAGTCACTCTGGGTGAGCCTGTGGAATTCTGGAAAGGTCAGACAGTAGAGAGGAGCTAATGTTCCCAGGCTCCCGCCTGTACCCTGCCTGGGTGGCTCTGGGGCCTGCCTAAACCTCTGGCTCATCTCAGGGGTCCTGCCCCATCTACTCCCTTCCCTGGGCCATACTCTCCTGAAGGAAGGCCACTAGACTGTCCTGACCAAGGACAGAGGCCTGCACCATCCCTGACACCATGGTGCCCAGTGACCAGGGAAACTGAGGAAATGCACTGACTGCTTTTCTTTTCTTTTTTCTTTCCTTTTCTTTTCATTTCTTTTCTCTCCTCTTCTCTTCTATTTCTTCTTCCTTCTTTTTTTCCCAATAACAGCTATATTGAGATATCATTCACATGTCATGTAATTCACTCATTTAAAGTGTACAGTTCACTGATTTTTAGTGCATTCATTGAGTTGTGTAACCATCACCACAGTTAATTTTAGAACATTTGCTTTTAATTGTTGTTTCTTCCCAGAGATTACATTAAAGGCCAGTCCTCTCTCCACCCCCTCACCAAGACCCTTCTCACCACTTTCTGGGTCATAACTGCTCCTGAACAGGGGTTATCTTCCCTAGTAGGTTATAGACTGATGGAGGGCTGCAGGCAGTCCCCTAGATCAGCCTCCACCCAGCCCCAAGGCAAGAGTGAGAAAGAGAGGAGGATCTGGAGAGTGTCTGGGAAGCATTACAACACTCCCTAGGGACGGAAAACAAACGTGGGCGTCACCGGGCAGGAATGGCGGAGCCTAGCCGCTCATTGGCAGCACAGGCCATTCCTCCTGAGCACTCATGCTAGGACGCTAAGGACAGAGGTCCAGGTCTGCTCCCCATAGGTGGTGACTATTGGTATAACAATGAGGGTGATTGTGACAGGCAACAGTTAATGAGTGCCTACTGTACGCCAGGCACTGTGTAAGTGTTTGGAGGCTTTGTCTCATTTAATCCCTCAAACATCCTTGTCAGGTCAATTCTATTATTACTCCCATCTGACAATTGGGAGAATTGAGTTTCAGAGAGTTTGCCACTTTGCCCAAGTAGCACAGCTACTAATGGGACAGCTGTGCCTCGAGTCCACGTCTGCAGAATTCTGCACTCTGCCATGTTGCAGATGTCCTATGAAACCCCTGTCACCGCAATTGTTCAAAGCTGGGTGCTCTGTCTACTTAGGGCTTCCAGATCCCTGAGAAGAGTGTGTGTGTGTATATGCACGTGCTGTGCGTAGAGTGTGTGTGTGTGTGTATGCACGTGCTGTGCGTGCAATGGGGAGAGGGAGGGAAAGAGAGAGGGAGGGCTGGGAGGGGAGAGAGAGAAGGAAGGGCACCAGAGAGAAATAGGGCAAGTGTATGTAGGTGTCTGAGGATTTGAACAGCTGACCTACGGTGTTTGGTGGGTGTGGATCAGGGTCTGGGAGGAAAGGTGCCATCAGATGACAAGGGTCAGGGCAGGGGCCTGACTGGGGCATCTAATGTGGTCTCTGCCTACAAAGGTCTTCAGGGCTCTGGCCAGGGACAGGACCCTGGGAGGGCAGCACCACCTCCGGTTTTTCTACCCCTCAGAGGTGACCCCACAGGGTGTGGGTCGTCTCCTATAATAATGGGCCCCTGTGCAAAGGTGTTTTTCAGAGGCATCACCGTGAACGCTGTGCGGGGCTTCCCCATGAGCGCGGCCATGTTCCTTGGGTATGAGCTCTCGCTGCAGGCTATCCGCGGGGACCACGCGGTGACCAGCCCGTGAGCACCAGGTCAGTGTGCTTCCTTTCCAGCCACTTGGGCCTCCCAGGAACTCAAAGCTCTTTGCTTTGTCTTGAAAATGCTGTGGGCTTCTGAAATGTCCATGTGTTGTCCTCTCCTATCTAACCGGCGATAGGCCTGGGGCTAGAGCTGCCCCCTTCCTCAGACAGCAGTTCTGAAGTGCTCCCCAGTGACTGGTGGTGTGCTGAGTCCTAGTGACTGAGTCGCTGCAGAATCGGCTTGTTTAGAGCCAGCTCTGCCACCCGTTTTCCCATTCAGCAGCTTCAACAGCCCTCAGAGAGAAGTGCTTTGAGCTGCATCATGCAAATGCCTTGACCCATACCCAGAAGCGAGGACTTGAACGAGGGGACCCACCTCTGCTGAGAGAGCACCATCTGCCACCTCCCTACTGAGCCTGAGTCTGAGAGCCGCCCATGGGGCTCTGCCACCGTTCTTTGCCTCCTGTGCCTTCTCCTTTCTCTTTCTCAATGCAGAAAGGTCACCGCAGCCTGAGAGAGCTCCTGAAAACAGAAATCTGGGCAAGTGACTCCCTTGCGCAAATGCCCTCGGTGGCTCCCCATTGCCCTCTAGTGAAGCCTGTCCTCAGCACTGCCCCCTTCTCCAGCCTCTCTTGTCCTCTGTCTCACTCTGGGGCTCTGCCCATGCTGCTCCCTCTGCCTGATACCCTCTTCTTGTTCCTTTCAATTCTTTGTCATCCAGGCCCTGGGGCAGCGGCCTTCTCCTGCAGGTTGCCTGCTTGCTTTCTTGTGCCTGCTCTAAGTCCCCTCCCCGCCCCCACTGCACCATAACCGCTGGTGACACCCTCGCCAGTGGGTTCTGTCCACTGTGGCATTGCTGGTGCCTGGCACAGAGCCTGACACACCAAGGTCACTCAGCAACCTCACTGGATGATTGGACTGTCAGCCTCCAATGTCCCCTCTGGGCCCCCTTCCTCTTCTGGCTTTTTCTCCCTCCATTCTCCATTCTCTTGCCCTGAAGTTGTTACCTGTGAAGCTCAGCAGACAGAGGGGTGAGGCCTTGAACTTTCTAGTGAACCACGACCATTTTACTTCAGCCTCGGTCACTAAAACTTCTCCTAAGAATAATAGATGGCTTTTATCAGGCAGCTCTAGAAAATTCCACTGCTGGCTCCCCCATGGGCTGGCAGGGGTGCCTGTGGGGCAGCAGAATCCGGCTGGGATGTGTGGATGGGACCAGAACCTAGATGAAGGGACAGGCATGGCTGTAGTGAACTCAGGACAAGCCCTAGATACTGGCTTTAAACAAACGCCTTTAGCTTTTTACTAAAGCACCAGCATTCACAGCTCTGCTGACTTTTGCCCTTTCTTATAAAAGGAAAAGGGTAGCAACACATGTTGCATAATTAAACACCTTGGGTGAAGAGCTACCACATCTGAAGCTGTCCAGGGCAGGGAGGGGAATTTGTCATGTTTTTAGAGCTGTGCTCAGATATCAGCCATTTTTCTCTTTTAAAAGATGAAAGTAACTTTTAAAAAGTCCTATTATAAAATCAATGCATTTTTATTGGAGAAAAAATAGAAAATATAAATAAACAGAACAAAATAAAAATACCTGTCATTGCAAGAACCTTCTTATTATTCATCTGTCTCTTCTGTGTTTCCCCAAATTGGAATTCTGCTGGACATGGTGTTTCATAACTCTCACTTCCCATTTAGCAGTTCAGGACTATTTATCCATGCCATTGTTAATGCCAAGGCCTCACAGATCCCGGAGGGCTGGACACTTGCCCAACCTGATGTACCCTGCCTCTGGGGACCACCCTGGTGATTGGCTGCTTCAGGAAGAAGGAGGAAGTTTCTAGCAAGCCAGTCATGACTGTCCTGGATTCGGCCTTTCACAGCAGTGACCAACCCCACTGGAGGCTTTTCTTTCTGAAGCACTCTCTCTTGCAAGGGGCTTGGACATCTGTCTCCCTTAGACACAAGGACTGCCAAGGCAGGGAGGAGGCTGGTACCTCTCAGAGGGGAGTGGGAGGCTCCCAGCCTCATCTTAAACAAGCCTCGCTCAAGGCTTTAACTCAACAACACCAAGCCTTTTTTATAAGACCTGAATTTTTATTTAGTAAGTAGCTCTGAGATCTGGGGCAGGCTGTGCTCCAGGCAGCAGCGGCACTCATGCTTTGAAGATGGGGAAAGTGACATTTTCCTCATTGTCTAGTCCAAGGACAGTGTGACATGGTGTATATTAAAGAACTAGGGAGCCCTACAGTTCCTGAGAAGTGGTGCAATGGTGACTGTCCCAAGAGTCCTTGGAAACAGGTGGCAGGAACAACATGAGAATTATTTCTATAATTCTCCCTCCCTCCAGCCCACACAGGGACAGAGTATCTAGCTCCAAGCAGCTTCCCGGTTCCTTCTAACAAGTTAGAGAGCTCTCCTCCAGCTCCCCAAAGTCCTGGGCAGAAGACCACTTCCTTTTCATCCACCCACTAAGTTATTTCTCTCCCAGGCTACGTATACTAATGACCCAAGGGCACTTGAAGCCCAGTATACACTACATGAGGTAGCTATTTTGTGTTATGTCTAGTTTTATCTATTCACATGGAGAAACCAGAATCAGACAATACAAGATGACCTGTAGTGTTAGAAGTGGGGCCTGGCCACTCACCAGTGGCTAGCTCTTGGGTTTGTCTGCAGCCCTTGAATCTGGCTGGGCCCTTCACCAGGATCCTGCCCCCAGAGCCTTCCTGGAAGAATGCTCGACCACCCTCTGTCTGACACACACACTCCAAGTCTCATTAGCTTTCTTTTCAGGAAAACAAATTTTTGAGGAAAGAAGACGCATTCTTCCTATAATATCTTTCTTGAACATTTACAAAGAACCCCAGACAACCCTTAGAACCCTTCACCAGCCTGTGCACACGGCGGTATTTTCTCATCTGTGCTTTTAAAAAACAGGTTCTGAATGGGCTTTTGACACAAGATCTGATGGTAACTCCTGCTTGATGATATCCTATCTCTCCTCCTTTATCCCAGGGCCAGTGGCACCTGACCAGGGCCTCATTCCACTGCAGGTCGATGCTGAGGGTGTCTCCAGAACCCATGGAATTTAATGAAGAGAAAGGACTTCTCGCCTGGGCTCTGTGCCACCAGGCCTGCAGCCAAGTGCACTCCCTGGGAATCCCTTCCTTCCTTCTCAATTGCCAAGCACTCTGTCCCCACCCGGTCGGGGCTGCCGAGCTGCCACAGTGGAGAGAAACAAGGGACCATCGATCACCATCTATTTCAGCTCTGGACTAGCATAGGGCGAAAAATGGGATAAACAGCCCCTGCCCACGTGGCCAGTGTAAATTCATTGGGAATTCACGGAGGAACTGAAGTTGGCTGTAAATTTCCAAATAAAAGCACTGAAAACGGTTCAGTCTGCATCAGATGCTTCTGCCTGGCTGCCACGAGGCACCTGGTCACCATCTTTGCTCTCTCTGTTCAGGTCCCCCTGGATGTCACCAGCCCAGAGAGAAACCCACTCCATGCAGGGCAGGAACTGAGAGGGACAGGCTGGTGTCTTTTTTCCCAGATGCCAAAGGTGGGCAGGGGAGGTTGAGAAGGACAATGGGGAGAGAAAGCCTCTCCCACCCTGAGCAGTGGCACACTGTGTGACATGCTTGAGAGACAGCGGCCCTGGACTTGGGTGGCGTGGGTGCTTTCCGGGCCTTATTTTCACACAGGAATCTGAAAAAAAAAAAACAAAAATACTCTGTCCACAGTCTGGTTTCCAGAGTGATTTTATTGTTCTAAATTTTATTCTCTGCTAGAACCATGTGGGAGGGCATTGCTATTTTGCTGTTATGTGGCATGTGCCCATGTTGTCACCCCAGTCTGTGCCCACAAGCATAAGCATCCCTAGTGAATCACAGAGCCCTTCTTGATCAGCCAAATGGCACTTCAGAATCCCTCTTAACACAGTTCCCGGGCAAGCAATCAGCAGGCATTCAGAACTGGCATGCAAAAGGAATCTATTTCCTATCTCTGGCTTAAATCCCAGTGGGGGACATGTCCTCCAGTTCTTTTATTCTTCTTTCCCTTGAAAGGGTCTTCCTTGGTTTCTCCACTGTCCTGTTCCCCAGCAGCTCTTGCCTTTGACTGATTTAAATGATGTCTCTGAAAATCTCCTGCCCTAATAGACCCAGGACCATGCATTGCTCTGGCACAAAGAAGTTGGCAATGTTCAGTCTGTGCAGCTTTAATCCTGTGCCCGTGGCCAAGGGTTCCCTCGGTATGCCCTCCTTGACCTTCCTCCTCCATAGCTCCTGGTACTGCAGGGTCCCAGGGAACTCTGCAGGCTGCATTCCAAACCCGCCAACGCTCCAGCAGTGGGACATCCATTCATTCACACAGCCCTCAAACATTTTTTGAGCAGGTGCTGTCCTAGGTATTGGGATGGCCACGAGGCGCTCCCATGGCACTTCCACTCTGGTGTGTTGGAGAGGCTCTACTGACAGGACAGATAGGTCTGCCTGTCCTCTCCAGCATCAGGGGGCCTGAGCAGGCACTGAGGATCCAGGTGAACAAATGCTCTTGGCATCTAGCTCATTCCTGGGTGGGCCCAAAGTCTCAGATATAACATGTTCTAGAACATGTTTGTTAAGTCTGTCTCAACAAGACTGGTTCCTGGTGCTGGTCTTGGCCATGTGGTTAGTTTGGAAATGATGCTGTGTCATGAGGCCAGTGGGGGTCTTCCCCTGTATTCTCCTGATGAGGCCGAGATGCAGCCACCTTCTTCAGGTGTGTGAGCTTCTCCC